GAGTGTTCCTGGGCCTTTGTTTTCTAAGACGGAAATGATAGTTCCTGAGCCGATTGAGTAGAGGCAACTGTGCAGATTCTAAATGATGCCTAACAGTGTGCCGTGCACGTGCTTACTTGTCCATAGCCTCCTCTGTTCCCGGGTATTTCATTCTTACTTTTGTCTTCCGTCTCTCTTCTTTCCATTCCCCAGAAGTGGACAGATCAGTCAGGTGGGACTCAGAGCAGTTCATCTGGCTTTTTGTCAGCAGCTCTGATAAGTCTCCTAAATGGAAACAGCTCTGGGAGAGATGCTGTGAATCCCTGGGCTCGCTCTTCTGCTCTTCCCGATAAAAGCCTGCTGCTCTGCAAATCTACAACCAGGGTTGAAATAAGAAAGAATGGGGAACTCAACCTATCTGAGAAATGCTGCTGATCCCTCTCTCAGGTGATGAGAGAACAGATGTGAATGAGACAGCCCGTGCTGGCAGGTGTCAGGGGAGGCGTCCGTGATCAGAAGTAGGTTCCAGAGTAGACTGTGCCCTACTCCACGGCCCCAGCCACCCCCTTTAAACTGGGCTTTCTGGGCTTCCTTGGTGGTCCAGTGGTTAAGAATCTGCCTGCCAATGCAGGGGGCATGAGTTCAATCCCTGGTCCAGGAAGATTCCACACGCAGCAGGGCAACTAAGCCCATGTGCCACAGCTACTGAGCCCACTCATCTTAGAGCCCATGATGAGAGAGACACCTCTGCAGTGGGAAGTCCACGCACCACAACGAGAGAGTAGCCCCTACGCACCCAACTAAAGAAAAGCCCACGCAGCAACGGAGACCCAGCGCAGCCAAAAATTAACAAAACAAAGCAAACAAAAACGGGCCTTTCTTACTTTCCTGATCGCAGTTGCCTCTGCCTTTCATCACTATTGAAAGTTGACTGTCAGCCTACAATTTCTATTTTCCTCCTAGAAAACTCTATGACTTAGGGAGGTCTGACTAATGGGTACTCCTTTGTTCACAGTCCTTGTATATTTGTAAAGAGCAGTTGTATGGCCCCACAGCCACAATTTAAATTTGTGTAGCTCCCAGCATGGCGCTGTGTATATATTAAACACTTTAATATTTTTAACAAATAAGGGAAGAAATCATTACATGCCTAATCTCTGGGGATGATACATTGCATGTCATTTTGATAATTTTAGTTTTAAATCATAAAATATTTTGAATGGAACTTCCCTAGTAGTGGTTGGGACTTTGTTTTTCCACTGCAGGGGGTATGGGTTCCATTCCTGGTTGGGGAACTAGGATCCCACACACTGCACATCTGCACAGTGTGGGAAAAAAATTTTTTAACATATGGAAAAGCACAGAAAAATTAAATAATTAACATGACAGATTCTAGTGCCTCAGATGTAAAGAATCTGCCTGCAGTGTGTGAAATGTGGGAGACCCGGGTTCTATACAGCATCAGGAATATCCCCTGGATAAGAGGATGGCAACCCACTCCAGTATTCTTGCCTGGAGAATTCCATGGACAGAGGAGCCTAGCAGGCTACAGTTCATGCGGTCACAGAGACGGATATGACTTAGTGACTCACACAGATCCAATACTGACATTTAGCAAACGTAAAACTTCTGCCACACTGATTCAGATATGCATAAAGAAATTAAATCTTACAGATACAGCACTTATAATTTTAAAAAAGGGAAAGATGGAGACATTTGGTACTACCTCTTTTTTTTTTAATTAAAAAATTGATCATTTAACAAAACTCTATATGTCGAGAACAAAGTTATAGGAAATCCAAGAGAATTTCCTCCCCTTTCTGCTTTCCAGGAGCATTAACTGGGTAGAAAATGTGGGTCCCAAAGAAGAGCTTTCTTTTTCAGTAGTTGGTAACAGGAGCTCCAGAATCCCGGTTCTTCCCCAGACCTGTTTCCCCTCTTTTTGCTAAAAACATAAAGTTGATTAGAACATCCACACAGGTATGACTTTAAAAAATTAAAATAAGTATATTGCATCAAGAAGGAAATACTTTTCTAATAAAATCAAAGCGAAGTCAAGGTTTAAAAACTCTTAAAAAAAAAAAAAAAGTCAAATCCTTGAAAAGAGAAAAATTGGTTCCAGCCCTACCATGGCCAGTCTGCCTGGGGGCTGAGGCTGCTCTTCTTTTCCAGGAGTGCTCGCCCTACGCAGCCCACCTCTATGATGCTGAGAACCCACGCACGCCCCTCCGGAACCTTCCTGGCCTCTGCTCTGACTACTGTTCTGCATTCCACTCGAACTGCCACTCCGCCATCGCCCTGCTGACCAACGACCGCCGCCTCCAGGAATCCCCCGGAAAGGATGGCACACGCTTCTGCCACCTCCTCAACCTTCCCGACAAGGACTACTGCTTCCCCAACATCCTGAGGAGAGACCATCTCAACCGCAACCTGGGGGTGGTGGCCGAGGACCCTCGGGGCTGCCTAAAGTGATAGACTAACCCCTGCTAGATTGTCCAAAGGAAGGGACTGGGGGTTCTTGTAGAGCCGAGAGTAAGGCTGAGCACTAGAAAAGGGTGATGGTTACCCTGCTGTGTCTACAGCTCGTGAAGTCAGGATGTGAAAGAAAAATGATCCATGATGGGAATCATACTAGGAAGCAAGGGGTGTCCCAGAGCTACTGAGCTACCTGTTTTGTGGTCCTTGGCTGGCTTGGACCAGTCAATTTCTGGATTTCTCAAGAGGATGCTGTATCAGCTTTCATCAAAGCATGGTTTCTTTTTCCTTTCAGGGTCATTTTGGAGATAGAAGAACCAGCCTCAAATCATAATGGTGGACAACTTCTTTTTGGCCTAGATGGCTATATGTACATATTCACTGGGGATGGAGGACAGGCTGGGGATCCCTTCGGCAAATTTGGAAATGCTCAGAACAAGTAAGCTGGATGCAGGCTTGCCCTGGTATAATGTTTTTGCTGAGATGGAATCTGCAGAGGGTCAAACCCAACTCATTTACTGCAAGATGTAGTTTCCCCTGTTGACACAATGGGTAGAACATTTGGTTTTCTTTTCTTGTGTTTTTTTTTTCTTAATATTTACTTGGAACATTTATTTATTTGGCAACCTTGGGTCTTATGTGGGATTGTTCACTGCAACTCTCAGTCTCTCTAGTTGTGGCATGTGGGCTTAGTTGTCCTGTGAAATGTGGGATCTTAGTTCCCTGACCAGGGATCGAACCTATGCCCCCTGCATTGGAAGGTGGATTCTTAACCATTGGACCACCAGAGAAATTCTGTCCTATACTTTTCAGGCATAATATATTTTTATAATTAATATTATGGATGTTCAACATGACTCTCAGAGGGCCATATAAAGATGAATTCAAGATTTTTAATATATATGAGCAGGACATTATTTACTATGCCATGATCTGACCATCTAGTTCAATTCAGCTCAACAATATTATTGATTACTGTGTTCCAGGCACTGTGTCTCATGTGAAGATACATGAGTAGTTAGTTAATGAGACTAACAGAAGCAACAACAATGTATTTTGTTGCTTACTGGGTGTCCAATGCTGGTCTAAATACCTTATGTTTATTTGAGCACATAATTCTGACAGCCACAAGGGCCAAAATTTTAATCTCTTTTTTTGGTTGATGTATTCCCAGCCCCTAGAATAGTGCCTGGCAGTGGTGTCATGCCATATATACATTTGGAATGAATGGATCCTATGAAGTATAGGTATTATGATAACCATTTTACAGACAAGATAATAGAGGCAGAGAGGAGTGAAGTAATCTATCCAAGGTCACACAGAGAGTGAGTGGCAGAACCAGAATTCAAACTCAGAAAATCCAGCGAGGCTATGCCATCTAGAGGAAGGTCACGTGGTCCTTCTGCCCTTTGTACCCAGCAAGCATGTGGCTCTCATTATTCCTAATAATAAAAATATTAGGGTTGATAATAATAAAGAGGTTGCATTTGTTGAGTGCTGACTGTATGTCAGAAACTGCATGACATGCTATATGCACACTAACCCATTTAACCCTTACATCGCAACCAACTGCAAGGCAGTATTACTTTCCCCTGCTTAACAGAGCAGGAAACGGAGGCTCAGAGACCACAGTCATCAGCAGACCTGCTCAAAAGCCTCTGTTCTTTCTACTGACCACATTGTTACATGAGGAAGAATAGAATCACCCTCCTTTAAAAAATTCATAGTATTATACCAAACCTGAGAGAAACCACCCCATTATAAAAGCAGAAAAATTGAAGCTGCAACTTGCTCAGTGTCACATGGACCAGGACTACATCAAACTTTTGCCTAGTAGTTCTCTTTGAGTCAAAAATTGGAAAGTCTTAACTATATATATATATACATACACACACACACACACACACATATATGTGTGCGTGTGTGTGTGTATATTATCTCCCCATGTAATTCTTGGTTTTCAGTTGAGATCCACTCTCAGTAGACTCTCTTGGGCCATCTCCTCTACTTCTGAGATGTTTTATTTTATTTAGAATACGTAACCTGAGATCCACTCTCTTAAAAAATTTAAGTGTGTACAGTATTGTTAATTGTGGGGAAAATATACAGTGGGTCTCTGGTACTTACTACTTTTGCATACAAATGGCCAACAAGTACACGAAAAGGTGCTCAGTGTCATTAATCATCAGGAAAATGCAAGTCAAAACCGCAGTGAGATATCACCTCACACCTGTTAGAATGACTATCATGAAAAATCAAAGGACAAGTGTGGGCAGGATGTGGAGAAATTTGAACCTCTGTATACTGTTGGTGGGAATGCAAAATGTACAGTGCAGCAGCTATGGAAAACATTATGGAGACTCTTCAAAGAATTTTAAATAGAACTAGCATATGACCCAGCAATCTCACATCTTCATATTTCTCCTGTTCCTGTTTTTGGCCTTCTTCCTTTCAGAAGTTCCCTGCTGGGGAAAGTGTTAAGGATTGATGTGAATGGGGCCGGCTCAGGTGGCAAGCGGTACCGAGTGCCCGTGGACAATCCATTTGTTTCTGAGCCAGGGGCCCATCCCGCCATCTACGCCTACGGGGTCAGAAACATGTGGCGCTGTGCCGTGGACCGAGGGGACCCCGTCACGCGCCAGGGCCGAGGTCGGATATTCTGTGGGGACGTGGGACAGAACCGGTTTGAAGAAGTTGACATCATTGTTAAAGGTGGAAACTATGGCTGGAGGGCAAAGGAGGGGTTTGAATGTTACGACAAAAAGCTCTGTCAAAATGCCTCTTTGGGTAAGTGAGGAGCCCTCATTTCTGGAGTGAATTGAATGAGTTGCGGGTGGAGATGGGAGAATAAAACCTGGGCCTGGCTTGCGCTGCAGGTCCTTACAGTGCCTTTGTTTGTCTCCTATGGAATCGTGCTGTCAGAGTGGCCCTCTAGCCAGTGGCTCCTGAAACTCTGGGCATTTCTTGTTAACTAATGAATTGAATCCTGGGTGGATTGGGGGTGTGGTGGGATTGACCTAGGAATCTATATTCCAAATAAGTTACTCACATGGTTTTCAGGCATACAATTTTGAACCATCCTCAAAGGAAAATATGTGGCTGTATATTTTTATTTGGAACTGCCACTGAAATGATATCCCATGTATGGTCCCTAAACATCAGCAATCAAGGTATGCTTTAGAAACTCCATCTGGCTTAAAATTCTAATTTTCTGACTTTATCACCATTGCTTGGTCTTTTTGTCCTTCTGTTGCTGAACTCAGGTTCAGTTGCATGTTACTTAGGAATCCAATACTGAGAGACAAGTGTTGACTACAAGGAAAGATAGCTTTACTGAGGAAGCTGACAATCCTGGGGGAAGGTGGACTTGTGTCCCAAAGAACCAATTTCCCCTTGTTAATCAGGGGAAGAATTTTAAATGGGAGTTTCAGGGGCATATAGGTGGAGGGAGAGAGCTACGTAGGACAGGATAGCCATCTCTGACACTTTTCTTGAAATTGGTCATGCCGGGTGGTCTGATCAAAGTTATCTTGGTTGTTTTAAGTATAGTTAATCTTTAGTTCCAGGGTTGCTTTGTTTCCATTTCCTAGAGGCCAGTTCTTAGAACTGGAAGATGGAGCAATTTATGTTATGGCTACAGTCTGGCCATCATGTAGTTAACTTCTTCCACCTGGTGGGAGTTTCATTATAATACTGCTCAAAGGACATGGCTCAGTATATACCTATAGACTCTGAGGTCTTTGATTTAGTTTAATTAAAGGTCCTTGATTCAGTTTAATGACTAAATTATTTTTATTTTGTTCTGTTTGACTATTTTCCTTGCTTCTGTATTTTTTCATTCCTCTGATTAAATTTATTCTTTGGCTTAAGTTTTTCTATAGACAAAAGGCAGGCAGAGGACAGGTGATGGTCTGTCCTGAGAAGGTCTCATAGGGTCCTGCTCCATTACACTATGTTTCAAAGCAGTCATCCAGGTCCTCACAATATTCCAAATCCTAAACCTGAGTATCTGCCATATTGACCTGGGGGAAAAATTTAAGGGTGTGGATTTCCAGGTCACTGCCCCACAGGTGGGGGAACTTTAGGTTTCCTCTATGCTTTCTGAGGCCAGTCAAATGGGAAGCTCACAAATATCATGGCTGGTCTGTTGAGAAGAGAAACATGATTTACTTGGCTTTCTGTCCTCCCAAAGACCAAGAGATGAAACATTCTCCACTCAGCAAGGCAATTGATTTTAAAAACTGCCTTCTTCCTCCTTGAAGCTCCCAGGTTTAGCTATGACACTTTCTCCTTGCCCCTGGACAGACGATATTCTGCCAATCTATGCTTATGGCCATGCAGTGGGCAAGTCGGTCACTGGAGGCTACGTCTACCGTGGATGTGAATCACCAAATCTCAATGGTCTCTACATCTTTGGGGACTTCATGAGTGGGTAAGGAAGGATTGATGTCCCCTCTCTCTTTTTCAACATTTTAATTGGAGTACAAATTGCATATTACAGTATTCAATGTCTTAACAGTGTGGCTATATAGTTTTACAAATGTATGACCTTGTATTAAGACTAATCGTATCAAGATGAAGAACATTTCTGTCACTGTAGAAGGTTGCTTCTTGCCTATTGCCTGTCAGTACAACAGACCTTTCTCCCCACCGCCCCCACATTAGCCAGAGATAACCACTCTCATCACAGATGCTTTTTCCATTGAATAATGTCTGTGAAATTTGTGAATACTTTTGCATGTATCAGTAGTTTGTCTCTTTTATTGCTTTGTAGCATTCAATTGCATGAATATGCCAGAGTTTATTCATTTATTTTCCTGTTTATGGATGTTTTGGCTGTCCCCAGTTTGGGGGGATTGTGAATAAAACTGCTGCAAAGCTCTGTAGTTTTCAGTGTAAAAGGTCTTGGACATGTAAGTATTTCATAGTGTTTGATGCTATGTTGAATGTTGCTATATATTATATATACATATATACATATATAACAAGTATAATATATATTCAACATATATATAACATATTAATTCATAACATAACTAATTTCTTATTAGTTCTAGTGACTTTTTTGTTTATTCTATTGGATTTTCTATGTAGAAAATAATTTTGCTATGAATATGGATACCTTTATTTTTTTTTCCTGAATTGGAAGCCTTTTATTATTAGTCTCTACATCTTTGGGGACTTCATGAGTGGGTAAGGAAGGATTGATGTCCCCTCTCTCTTTTTCAACATTTTAATTGGAGTACAAATTGCATATCACAATATTCAATGTCTTAACAGTGTGGCTATATAGTTTTACAAATGTATACCCTTGTATTAAGACTAATTGTATCAAGATGAAGAACATTTCTGTCACTGTAGAAGGTTGCTTCTTGCCTATTGCCTGTCAGTATACCAGACCTTTCTCCCCACTGCCCCCACATTAGCCAGAGATAACCACTCTCGTCACAGATGCTTTTTCCATTGAATAATGTCTGTGAAATTTGTGAATGCTTTTGCATGTATCAGTAGTTTGTCTCTTTTATTGCTTTATAGCATTCAATTGCATGAATATGCCAGAGTTTATTCATTTATTTTCCTGTTGATGGATGTTTTGGCTGTCCCCAGTTTGGGGGGATTGTGAATAAAACTGCTGCAAAATTTTCTAGTTTTCAGTGTAAAAGGTCTTGGGCATCTAAGTATTTCATAGTGTTTGATGCTATGTTGAATGTTGCTATATATTACATATACATATATACATACATATATATATAAAACAAGTATAATATGTATTCAACATATATATTAATTCATAACTAATTTCTTATTAGTTCTAGTGACTTTTTTGTTTATTCTATTGGATTTTCTATGTAGAAAATAATTTTGCTATGAATATGGATACCTTTATTTTTTTTTCCTGAATTGGAAGCCTTTTATTATTCTTTTATTGATTTGTTGCTTCATTGTAACCTTTAGTACAATGTTGGATAGAAGTGAGGGAAAGCATTCAATTTTTTACCAATAAGATAGATGCTGTCAGCTGTGTTTTGTGTATGTCCTTTATCAGATTGAGGACATTTCCTTCAATTCCTAGTCTGCTGAGAGTTTGTATTAGGTATGATGTTGCATTTTGTCATATGCGTCTTTGCATCTAGTGAGAGAATCATGAGGCTCTTTCATTTTTAGTTTGTTAATATGGTGAATTGCACTAATGGATTTTTTTTTAATCACTAAAGCAATCTTGCATTCCTGGAATAAAAATATCACTTGGTCATGTTGTATTTGATTAATATATTGTTTTTGTTTTAATATATTGTTGAATTCAACTTGCTAATGTGTTTGGAATGTTTGCATCTGTGCTCATGAAGAAACAGATGAGCTGTAGTTTTCCTTTCTTATAATACCTTTGTCAGATTTTGGCCTCAGGTTAACGTGAGCTTTATAAAATGAGTTAAAGAGTATTTCCTTTTCTTTAATTATCTGGACTAATCTGTGTAAAATGTGTTTCTTCCTTCCAAGTGAAGCCATCTAGATCTGATGTTTAATGGTAGATGACCATTTTAATGGTAGTTGGGCCCTGTTTTTTGATCCATTCTGACAATCTCTATCTTTTAATTGGTACATTTAGATCATTGACATTCAAAGATATCATTGCTATGGTTGAAATGATATCTACCATACTCACTACTCTTCTATTTTTTGATATTGTTCTTTGTTCCTGCTTTTTCTTCTACTCTTTTTCTGCCTTTTGCAGATTTAATTGAACATTTTATTTGATTCCATTTTCTCTCCTTTGTTAGCATACTGATCATACTATTTTTTGAAATCTTTTTTAAGGAGTTGCTTAGAGTTTGCCATATACATTTACAACTAAGCTAAGTCCACTTTCAAACAACATTACAAAACCTCATGGGTAGTCCGTGTTTTGTAATAATAAAATAATCCTACTTCCTCCTTTTTGTCCCTTATATCATTGTTATCATTCATTTCACTTATATATAAGCATATATAATAATTATAACAGTGATATGTAATAATTATTAACATAACATTTTATAATTTAATAATACTATTACTTTATATATAAGCATACAAAATTAAATACATTGTTGCTATTAGTATATTGAACTAACTTCTATCTGTTAGACCAGTAAAGAATAAAAAAAATAAAAGTTTTGATTTTTACCTTCATCTATTCCTTCTTTGCTACTCTTTCTTTCTTTATATAGATTTGAATTTCTGACCAATATTATTTTTCTTCTCTCAAAAGAACTTCGTTTAACATTTCTTGCAAGGTAGATGCACTGGCAACAAATTCCCTCAATTTTTGTTTGTCTGAGAAAGTCTTTATTTGGCCTTCATTTTTGAAATATAATTTCACCAGGTACAGGTTGGTGACTTTTCTCTCTAAACACTTTAAATATTTCACTCTGCATTCTTCTTGCTTGCATGGTTTCTGAAGAGAAGTTTAACACAGCTTTTATTTTTGTTCTTCTATGCTTAAAGTGATGCCCCTCCACCCCCAGCTTCTTTTGAGATTTTCTTTTTCTTTATGTCTGATTTTCTGTAGTTTGAATAAACTATGCCTATAAGTAATTTTTAAAGAATTTATCCTGCTTGGTATTCTCTGAGCTTCCCAGATTTGTGGTTTGATATCTAATAGTAATTCTGGGAAATTGTGAATAATTATTGTTTCCAATATTTCTTCTCTTCTCTTTCTTTTCCCTTTGATAGTCCTGTTATACTTTTGTTACAACTTTAGTAGTTGTTTCACTTTTCTTGAATGTTTTGCTCTTTCTTTTGGTCACTCTTTTTTCTCTTTGCTTTCCAGTCTAGAGGTTTCTACTGAGATATTCACAAACTCAGATTCTTTCTTCAGCCATGTCCAGTCTACTAATAAGCCTGTCAAAGCATTGTTTATTTAAATTACGGTGTTTTTGGTCTCTAGCATTTCTTTTTGATTCTTTCTTAGAGTTTACTTATCTCTGCTCACATTGTTCTTGCATGCTGTCTGCTTTGTCCTTAAGAGCCCTTCACAGTTGTTTTAAATTCTGAATTTAATTATTCCAACATCCCATGCCACATCCAAATCTGGTTGTGATACTTGTTCTGTTTCTTCAAACTATGTTTTTTTGCCTTGTAATTTTTTTCCTGTTTGCCAGATATGATGCACTGGGTAAAAGAAACTGCTGTAAATTGGTCTTTAGCAAAGCAGTGGTGATGTGTGGGGGAGAGGAAGTGTTCTAGTCTTATGATTAGGTCTGAGTTTTTTAGTGAGCCTGTGCCTCTGGGCTGTGAACTTCATCAGTGTTTCTCAGAAGCCCTCNTCTAGTCTTATGATTAGGTCTGAGTTTTTTAGTGAGCCTGTGCCTCTGGGCTGTGAACTTCATCAGTGTTTCTCAGAAGCCCCCCTGCCTCCATACACATTTAGGTGGGACAGGATGGCTAGAGTTGGGTAGAGTTAGGTACTTCCTTTCCCCAGGTCTGTGAGGTTCTGATAACATCCTGGCAGGTTAGTCTCTGGTTATTTCTCCTGAGGACAGACATTTGATAAGAGAAACAGAAAGCACTGGTGTATTTCAAAATGATTCCTTTCCCCCTCCTCCTGCTGGAAGCACAAGCAGATTTTTCCTGATATTTATTTTGGGAAACTGGTCAAGCTCCTGGAGGTAAAACTCACAGAAGTGTGGGGACCCTAGATGACTGGGCACCCCTGTCTAACTCACACTTTGCCCATATAGAACTTCTAGCAATTTGTCAATTACAGGTTAGGTTTTCCAACCCCAGAACTGATACCTGTGAAGGTTTGTGCTTGTGGTTTTCTGTAAGTTGTGATTCTTATCTGCCTGCTTGTCTCTCCAATGTTGGGGGCAGTGGTTTTCCCTGTGACCTCACTTCTCTTATGAATCTAAGAATAGTTGTTGATTTTTCAGTCTTTTGCTTATTTTAGGATGGTGTGCCAACTTCCAAGCTTCTTACTTGCTGGACCAGAAACCAGAAGTCCTCTGAAGTGTTCCTTGTGGAGTCTTTTAAATACAAATTCAGTTTCTTTAATAGATATAGGCTTGTTGTTTAGACACTAAATCGTGTCTGACTCTTTTTGACCAATGAACTGTAGCCTGCCAGGCTTCACTGTCCATGGGATTTCCCAGGCAAGGATATTGCACTGGGTTGCCATTTCCTTCTCCAGACACAGGCTACTCAGCTTGTTTCTTTCTGAGTGAGTCTTTGTAGTCTGCCTGTCAAGGAATTTGTCAGATCTTTGGGATTTAATTGTTCTTTATGTTTTTCCCATAACTTCTACCCACCATTTCACCCCCACACATAACAGATATGCAGTGATTTTTAATTGAATCATATGCACTAGAATTACTGGGGGTTGAGCATCTCTGTTTCTATAAAACTTTTCAGCTGATACCCCTGGTTACCCAATTTTCTCTGCCTTTTCTTCTAAAAACCTTCTTTTAGTTCAGATAGATGACAGTGGAATATGAAGTAACATCTGCTACTCTACAGACATAACAGTAATAATATCTACTGGTTTTGAGTCCTTACTGTATGCTAAGCACATTGGTAATATATGAATATTTACATATATTATCTTATTTAACCTTAACAATTCTTGCCTATAGTAAATTCTCTTCCTATCCACCATTTTATAGATAAGAAAACTGAGGCTTAGAGATGATAAGCAACTAGCCAGCTAATAAAAATTAGTCTTTTGTGGTGGTACAACCTTCACACGACACCAAACTCCTCTTGTAATAGCAAATGAACTTCCCCATCTAGGGCAAGAGGGTGTCAGAAATATCTCTGATGTAGCTTTTTTGATTCCTAAGGGAGGTTAGTTATTGATCTCCTATGGGAGACTCAGTCCTAGTATTCCAGGATTCCCAGATTCTAGGAGGAAAAAAATATCCTGCCGGGTAGAAATATGGATTCCTAAAATATAAGGTTTTGCTTTTCATCTAGTCGACTTATGGCTTTGCAGGAAGATAGAAAAACCAAGAAATGGAAGAAACAGGACATTTGCCTGGGCAGCACTGAGTCCTGTGCCTTCCCGGGGC